GATGTATGCCAGTATGTCTTCATAGGTGGGCCATAAGTCACGGGTAAGTTATCTGATCGTGGGGTCCAGCTTATCCAAAACCTATGAGTAACCTGTGAATAGCATACATAACTTATCAAGAACCTATCTCCAACATGTATCAGCGTATCTGACGTGTTCCAGACGGCCGCTGAACGTGTTTCTAACTTACAGCTTTACTGTATAATGGCGTATTGGAAGCGTTTTGGTATAAAAGGGGGTTCACAGGAGGAAACCGTCAGTTCTCCCTCAGACTGCATCCCCATCATAGGGTGAGTGAGGAGGTGTGTGTGATGGATCCTCCCTGGATTCATGCCGTCGGCCAACAAACTTGCTAGCAGATATAAAGCTGAATCTGCTACGACTCCAATTTCTTTCATTTCTTTTTTTTTTTTTGGTGGGTGATAAACAGCAGCTAGGTTAATACCACGATCAAAGACATCGTTTTTTGATGCAGGCCAGGCGCTTCCGGGTGCATCGCTGCCCCCCTCGGGACACTGGCTTGTGACATTTCATGGGCATTGCGCTGCCGTACTTATGAATAAGTTACTGTAAGCTGTCGTTCGACATACACTCTAGACTAGTTATGAATATGCTATGTATACACCGAAAATTGAATAAATACATAAAAAGTTCAGCATATGCCAGCATTTTAGGAGAGTCTGGGACGTCAGACATATGCTGTCTAAATCGGGAACGTGGGACAGGGATAAACAAAATGAACTCTTTTATAAATCCCCTAGCAAAGAATAAAAGTGTTATATTCAACAAGGATTTTGTGGTTACTAAGAAGGGAATGACATCAAGTGCAACTTAGAAACCATTGGATGCTGGATTCTGTGTTTTGGCCACACCTGACAGTATCATTAAAAAAATGTGTCTTTAAATAATAAGCTTCAAGTTGCTTTAAACAGATCATAAGCTACAACATAATAGAAAAAAAAGTCTGGAAATAAAGATGGAATATTCTGTATGAATTTTTTTGTCAAGCTGGTTATGTAGACAACAATTTGAAAATAAGCATTTACTAGCAGCATGTTTCTGGTAACCCTTACTTAACCTTAACACCACTTCACTGTGGGGATGATGTGTTTATTGGTATCAAAAATTCTAATCTTTCCAAAAAAAAAAAATGGTCACGAACTGATCCTATGTCTTTCTCCAAACAATTACTGTTTTCATTAAACCCTTTCTGAAAAGTTAGATTTTAAATTCTCAACCACTAAATTATTTACACATACTAGGTCCTTTTCCAATTCTTTTGTAAGCAAGAGTTTTAAAGAAAATTAAAACTTAAAGAAAATTAATATTTGACATATTGATGGCAGCAATGTTGCAAAGTCCAAATGTGAAAATGTATAAAAAACTATTGTACTAAGTTTGACCCATGAACTAAAGTGCTGTTGCGAGTATAGAACAGCATAAAATCTGGCATTCACTGGTTGGTCCAAACACATATTTCAACAGATTAACCAATATAATTTGCGCTGAACTAGCTGCTAACTTGTGTAAGTGCTTGACCTGATTATAATATTTTAAAAAAACTAAGCTCAAAAGAAAAACTAAGCGAAGAACATCAACATACATGTAAGTTATGACATTCCTTTGCATTTTCCATTTCATCAGATCTCTTTGTCAAAGCACCTTGTGCCAAAAGCAGGTCTGTTTTACCAGCTAGCCTAGAGGTGACCCATGAATCTGTGAGACCTCCAGAGGATAAAGTAAGGAAATATAATTCATCCAAGCAGCTTCAACAAGTATCCTCTGTGTTCCTCCTCGACCCTAAAGCCTGGCAGTAAATTTTGTGAACTACAAGTAATAAACTCTTCCCCCCCAGCGGCCTTGGCTTCTTCAGTTGAAGTGCTGATCTAGCATTACTTTGATACAGTTTGACCATCTACTTCATTATGATGCAAAAGGTAAAACTTGCACTGGAGGGGTATCATTATTCCAAAGCCTTGATGCAGGCCCTGGAGACTGAGACATCATGGAAACAGTGGAAGCTGACACAGCTACGCAAAGCAGAGGCGTGAATGATGAAGAACCCTCTGTGCGAGGGCATGGCTCTAGTTGTTAACCCTTGTCACTAAAACCTCCCTCAATCAGTGCCTTCTTTATGTGTGTTATTATCCAGGCTGATCCCAGTGTTTTTGGATTTGGAAAACCTTTGCTCCTATGGGATTTTTTTTTTTCCATATGTGCTTTTTGCTTGGAACACATCTCCAAAGATTTCATATTGCTCCCTTCTTCCCTTTTTTCTTCATCTCTGTATTTAACATATACATTTTTATAGTAGGTGTTAGCCATCTGCTGGATTCATGTTTGACAATAAGCCTGTTGAACTCATTGAACGTCACACTTTTACAAGTGCTTCGATGCAACAAGAGCTCAACCTGTTACTATACATTTAGTGCAATTTTAAATTTTGCTCTGACACAAATGTAGGACTACTACTGTATATGTCTGAGATTAATCTTCCACCTCTTAACCACAGAGCTAACCCATAAGCCTTAGTGACATAACTACATCAGAAATATTTGTTGTCCATAAAGGGATTCAACAAGTGAAATAAAATAGCATTACACCTAAGATATCAATGTATGTTAATTGGAAAATTTGTTATACAGCAACACACAGAAGAACATTACTATGAAGGGGTGGGGGGGTGATGCATATAAAAAAATCAAATAAAGGGAGGTGTACAGTATGTAGCACCTTCAAATACAACTATTATTGGTAATTAATCTTTTCTTAGTTGGACTGGATGTAGAGTGACTGTGAACATCCTGACTAGGGTTGTCAAAAGTATCGATACTCAAAAGAGTATCGATACTGAAACGTTGTATCCGGATACGATACTCATTTTCAAAAGTATCGATACAGTGCTACCGCCAGTGGCACCTTAACAGTCATTCATCTAAAGTGCAGAATAGAGGAAAATGTACTATCTGAACACTGTGTTCAGAGTTATTTTTGTTTCTTAACCGGTTTGGCTAGTGTCATTGTTTTTTATCACGCTTGCTTAATATTGTGCACGGCATACAACCTCGAAATATTGTTCTTATTGTTTATTGTATGTATTTATTGTATTTTATTTATTAATGAAAATATTTCTGTTGAATTTTGGAGTCTTTGTTTTTATCCTTGTGGTATCGAAAATGGTATCGAGTATCGAATATTTTCCTTAGTATCGGTATCAAGTTAAAAAGTTTAGTATCGTGACAACCCTAATCCTGACATCAACATGTCTTGATTTATACTATTTTAGGCCTTCCTGTATGCTTAAGGTTGATTTACACTCCGAAACTAGGTCATCTGCATAGATGTCACATTGAACGCAGAGACGTCCCCGCCCCCTCCGCAGACACTCTGCTGCACCTCTCCCAAATTGTAGGTGCCACAGTGCCACAGACAGGAGGCCTCTGATTGGTCAAATCTACATCCGCTCTACGCTATGCATATCTCCTGTTTGGTACCTTACCAGCTTATTTTGTTTGTATGACTGCCATTGCGGAAAACGACTCATGGAGTTGGACCAGCTAGAAGAGCGAGGTGCGTGAGAACACTGAGACCCTTTTTCCATCTGGATCCCCGCTCTTTTTCGCCCTCATGTCCCTCCGTTGTAGGACAAACTTGCCCCATTTCCTCACCGCCTCGGCCGTATCTAGACCCACAGCTAGTTCGTGATTTTCCCCCATAGCGCAGACCACGCTTCAATATTGAGTATAAATCAAAAATGTCTGCATCATACCTGCGACATGCTCACTACGATGTGTAATGTTTTTTTTCCACCAAAGTATTTTTTCACTAAAAGCTTACCCTTGTTATGGTCACACAGGGGCATTTTCTTTTATATGCTTTGTGATTAAACAGGTCATCTGAAGACTATATTTCAATGACAACAGGTTTTATGTTTGACCAATATATTAAAACCTTCTGTTATTATTTCATAACCGAACTCCTTTAGAATTTAAAGCTTGACCTGTCTCCCTTATACTCTATTGTGCTGTTTTTAGTACTGGTCTTTAACAAACCACCGCTTAAACTTAAGCCTCTTTCCCACTGAAAAAAGAGGGTTAACATGTGGTTGTCAAACATGGGTCAACCAGCTAAAAATCCGCATTTGGCTCCCTTCCCAATCGCAAAAAAAGCTGGGTCTGACCCCAGCTACCAAGCTGCTTGGCCTCTGTCCTCCTGCCGCTGTATGTCTGGTGATATCATCACGTTGTGTTAGCCTTAATGATGTCACCAGTGCGACAGAAATCAGGAAAGTAAACAATGGAAACCGACATGTAAGGAAGCCAGGGCCTAGTAAGTGTGCTTCATTGTTTCGCTCTTTTATCTGTCCGAATTCATTTTACCAGTTTTCAGAATTGTTTCGGCTAGCACGGTGTGTAGAAGTCCATACGTTGACCTCAATGGTATCACATTAATAAATGCAGGTCGCTTGCCGAGTCGTTTCACCCGGTTTTCAAACTTTTCATATCT